TCCCAATTCTTTCCAATCTTTCCAATCCTTTCCTGGTGTCAAGAAACGAAGCCAACCTCCTGAAGACATCATCAGAGACCCCAATGTTGCTGGTGATGTTTTAGATCAACCATCTTGGTTCTAGGGAAGCCAGAGCAGCCTCCAAGAGGGGTATATTATTTACCCAGCAGAGTAAGACAGGGTAGTGAAACCAAGGGAACTGCTCCACACAGGAGTTTATGGATTTCCTAGACCTTGTTCACAGGGCTGTAACACTGGGCAGGGAAGCTGTCATCTGGGTTCCAGCGAAGCAAAATTCTCTGATGGGAACCCTGTTTAACTTGTTGATCTGTGAGTAGTCAGAATAAGTCAGGGACATGACCCAGGCGTCTAATGTGACTAACAGATTTAACTTGGCCTAAATGACATAAAGGAGATCTGTTCCTGAGAGTCAGGAAGACCTGGCTTTGAATTCTGCCTCTGACACATATTGGCTGTGTGAGTTTAGGCGAGCCACTTAACTCAGTTCCTCCCCCCAATCTTTCCCCACCCCCCAAGAATATAAATGCTTCTGACTTTCTGGATTTTAACAACATGTGCCCCATCCCCTTTCAGCTCCCTTTTGTTTATTGTCTTCCCCTTTAGAATGTAAGCTCTTTGAGGGCAGGGATGTTTCATTTCACTCTTTATCCTTAGTGCCTAGCCCCAGACCTGGTGCACGGCAGACACTGAATGCAAGCTTCTTGAATTAGATTGATGTAGCAGATAAGGTTGTGAGCAAAGGTGGCCATCTCTGATAGGACAGTGATTGCTTGTAAGGAAAAGAATCGTGGAATTTCGTATCAGCTCCAGACTAGCCAACAGAGGAATGTGCTAACCAGAAAGACTGACATCGTTTTAGGCTGTGTAAATAGAGGGATGACGTACCCTACAGATTTGGGGAAGCACCAGGTCTGCTCCTGAGCTGGTCAAACTGCATCTGAAGTATTGTACTGAGTTCTGGGCACCACCTTTTAGGAGGAACACTGATAAGCTGAAAGTGTATGTGAAGGAGGGAGACCAGGAGGGTGAGGATGAAACGACACCATAGGAGGAAACCACATCAGTTGAAGGAAATGGTGGTGGCGGTGGCGGTGGTAGGGGGTTGTTTAGTCTGTAGAAAAGATTGAAGGGAGACAGCATAGCCAGCTGTCTTCAAATATTTGAAGAGTCAGTCAGTCAATAAACATTTACTAAGCGCTAGGCCGTCATGAAAAAGGAATTAAGACTTATTCTATATTGCTCCAGGGAGCAGAACCTGGATCAATGGGTATAAGTTTGCAAGTTTTGAATCAATATTAGAGAAGAATTTTCTAAAAAGCAGAACAAATTAGAGCTTTCCAGCTGCCTCACAAGGTAGTGAAATCTGTCCCTGCACATGAGGCTGAATGACCTCCTCTCCAACATCCCTGGAAGAGGATACTAGGGTGATAGGAGGCAGACTGGATGAACTCTAAGTTCCCTGCCAACCAATTAACCAATTAACAAGCATTTATTAAGCACTGATTACATACCACACATAGTGCTACACTAGGGATGAAAAGACAAAGGATAAAACAATCCCTGATCTCAAAGGGTTAACATTCTAACTCTAAGATTCCATTCCTTAGTTCCTTCGTGTAAGTGATTTGTCACCAAAACACAGAAAAGAGAATACTTTCTCCAAAACTTCAAAAGTTTTCCCTTGATTCCATTGCAAAATGAAGTGAATTATTTTATAAGTAGGTTATTTGGATTTTGGGAAATAATTTCTCCAAAAAAAAAAAAAGAAAGAGATGAATTAAAAGTCAACAACATTAGTGCCCTGAACCCAGTGTCTTTTACTTACTATTGATCTCCGTAAACATCTAAAGCTGGCCAAATGACTGCTCTTTGGTATACGTGTGTCAGTATGATGGAAAGATGGTCCTAAAACTGGCTGTTAGTAAATCAGTGGGAAATTCTATACTAGAATGTGAACCACTAAATTGTTCACAAACAAATTCAAGAGCCAACTTGGTTACCTATGCTAATGAGCAGACAGGTTCATAGGATAATATGAAAAAAAAATTATATACTAATTATTATGCAATTGTCAAAATATAAAAAGGTCCCTCAAAATGACTTATAAAAGTCCATCATGCATGCCATGAACATTCTCCTCTGCCCAAGCAGTTTTTAAACCACAATGGTGTGTGTATAATGTAGACAGAGATGGAGTAAGAATTAAACAAAAAGATTTTCAAAACATTTTAAGATCCATTTCATAAACAAAAAAATCTCTTAGTATGCAAACCTAAGTAGGTTCAGCTAAAACAAACTTTTTTTTTAGATACAAATCTTGGCAGCTCATAGCAATGCAGTTTTTTTTTCTCTGAACAGTTAGAAAAACTTCTTATTCTGCCTTATGGGATGAATGCATCGAATAGTAACCAACAATCTGAAGTTTCCAAGGCCTACCCTGTCATATCTTCTAAATTATCTTCCTGAACACTGAACTAGAAACTCCTTATCTGTGTAAAGCAAAAACACGCAGAATATATTTTCCAATTTACCCTGGGAAGAAATAGATTCTGCTCACTTGTTCAAACTTTGCGGTCAATTTTTTTTTTTTAAGGCAATTGGGGTTAAGGGACTTGCCCAGGGTCACACAGCTAGTGTCAAGGGTACAGTCACTCTTAAGAGAAGCGCCTGCCTGTTGTGAGGTGTTTTACACTTTACAACCCATTTGCATAATGGAATCCCAGAATCATATAATTACAGAATTAGAAGGGACCTCATTGGCCATTTAGTTCAACTCATTTTTGAAATAGAATTCCCTCTAATCCTTCCTTATTCTCTCTTTTGTGTAGATGAAGAGGTAGCCCCCCTTCTGGTCAAGACCCAGTTGTCTACTTTCATCTATCATCCTGTCATCTGTCACATCGAGGAGCTTGTCCCTTTCAATCATCCTTCCTCTCTTATATATAATTTTTTTCTTATCTTTTTCTCCTGCTCTATACACTTTTTAATTATTTCTTATCTTTCTTCCTTGCTACCTACAAACATTAAAAATAGATTCCTCCATTTTCAAAACAACCGCTGGACCCTGGCATCCCCTCAAGCTATACCTCTTTTCTCAAAACCGAGTACATGCAATTTTTCCTCCCCAGCTCCTCAATCCCTTATATTCTGCTTTCAGAGCCTATCACTTAACTGAAACCATTCTCTCTTAAGATACCAAATCCAACGCTCTTTTCCTCAGTCCTCTTCCTTCTTGACCTCTGTATGACATTTGACGCTGCTGACTGCCCCCTCTTCCAGGATACTCTCTCCTCGGTTCCTCTGTCTTCCTTTCTTCAACTGTCATCCAAGTCCCACATCATGTCCCTATACCATGAATATCCCTGAAGATTCCATCATGGGCTTTCTTTTCTCTTTATACCCTTTCTCTTAGTGATTCCGTTGACTTTCACAAGTTCAATGATCATCTTTACCCAAATGATTCCCAAATCTACACATCCAGTTCTAATCTCTCTCTTGAGCCGTAATCTATCGTCATCTTCCATTTATCTGCCTTTGAACAGACTTTCCCCCACACTTGGAATTCACACCTTCCTTACCTCCACCTCTTGGAATCTCCAGCTTCCTTCAAGACTCATTTCAGGTATTATCTTTCTCTCTCTCTCTCTCTTTTTTTTTTTTAACTAGGCAATGGGGTTAAGTGACTTGCCCAGGGTCACACAGCTAGTAAATGTCAAGTGTCTGAGGCCGCATTTGAACTCAGGTCTTCCTGAATCCAGGGCCACTGCTCTATCCACTGTGCCACCTAGCTGCCCCTAAGTATTATCTCTTACTAGAAGCCTTTCCAGATGTGCCTCCTTAGCTTTGGCCTTCTTTAACTTTCCTTATCTGATAAATTGTATCCACTCAGTAGATATGGAAGCAATATGGTGGGGTGGAGAAGTGGGGAGTGGGAGGTGGGAGAGAAGGAGAGTACATGCCTATTAATTGGGGAAGTTTAATTTAATTTTAATAGAAGACAGCCTGGTTTAGCACCACTGAGAAAGACTTTCCTTCAAGCTCTGCCTCTGACGGTAATAACTGTGGCCATGGGCAACTCTTTTTTTTTTGTTTGTTTGTTTTAAGGCTATGGGGGTTAAGTGACTTGACCAGGGTCACACAGCTAGTAAGTGTCAAGTGTCTGAGGTCGGATTTGAACTCTGGTCCTCCTGACTTCAAGGCTGGTTGCGCAACTCTTTTAAGATTATACATGGTGGACAATCCTCTTTTACATCAGCAGAGGGAATTTCCACACTGGGAGATCCCCACACCAATGAAATGAAGCACATTTCCTAAGGTCATACAGGCAGTCAGTGGCAGAACAGAGATTCAAACCCAGGTCCTCTGACTCCAGATCCAGAATCCTTCCAGAGACCTTCCTTTCACTCAGGTTGATACAGGGGAAGTTTCACAGAGTGACGTCATAACTGGGCCACTTTACTTAAATCGATTATTAGCCAAGTTCCTTTGCACGATTTTTTTTGGTGCCATTTAAAAAGTTCCCTTTGAGCGATTCCCCCCAAGGCTGTTACACTGTGCGTACCCTTTGACCCCGCAATTCCTCTCCAAGAGATCAGGCCCAAGTCCGGCCGAGTCTGTGTTCAGTTTTGTCATTAGTTAAACAGACTGTGGTTCAGGTGCCGGGGCTGGACCCGGAGTCAGCGAACTTCAACTCCAAGCCTGACTCTGGCGCGTGTTCTTTGGCTCCAGGCCCCCAGCCCTGGGCCTGTGTCCCGGTTTGTAAGGGCGGGGGGCGGGGACAAGGGAATCTCGAAGCCTCCTCCAGCCGCTCCCGCCCCGCCCCCTGGGAAGCTCCGCCCCCTCGCGCGTGCGAGTTCTTCCGGTTCAAAAGGGTCGGGAGCCGGAAGTGCCTGGGCCCCCTTCGGCTGTGGCGGCGTCTGCTCGTTGTGTTCGCGGCCGGAGGGGAGTTGAAGAGAAGCGCTTGACGCCGCCGGAGCCGGGCGCCGAGGAGGAGCGGGAGCCGGCCCTGCCAGCGTCGGGTTCCCGGCCTCACTATGTCGCGAGGCTCCATTGAGATTCCCCTCCGGGACACTGATGAGGTGAGCGGAGCCGGGGGCCAGGAGGTGCCCCCGCCCAGCAGGGGGTGGGGCGGGGCGGGGCAGTGGAATCCCCCCCCCCCCGGCTTCCCTCTCCCTTTCCCTCCCCCTCCACCATGCCCCAGGTTTGCCCCAGCCCTTACCCCCCAGTCCGGGGTCTGACCCGCCCCCACCCCCGGGCCCGGGTCCGAGCCGACCTGGGGTCGTCTGCAGACCGGGGTGGGGGGGTGGTTCGAGGAGGCAGAGAGCTGACACCCCCTCCCTCTTAACTTCCGTCTGCGAGCCCCGGTGCCTCACCCCGGTCCGAGGAACCCTCCTGGGTAACTTTGCTTGGGACCCCGTACCTGTCACACCCCACATACATCTCCCCCCTTGTTTGAGCACCCCACTCATTGCTCTAGAGGAGGAAACTGAGGCAGGCGGGGCTGAGTGAAGGAATTGACTTGTCTACCCAAGGTCGCAGGGGCAGTTTGACAGCAGGGGTAGCGTCTGGTTCCAAAGCCACAGCTTGGGAAGGACCTTAAGGGGTCTTTACGCCTCGGTTTGTCGAGGAGATACAGAGCACTGGGGGTTCTGTGGCCTCCACAGCCCAAGTTTCTTTCCTCCGCATCCTTTCCCTTTCCATTGTAAGGGGATCTAGACAGCTCCTTCCTTCAGGGAGGTCCCACTGCTTTGTATTCACCCGAATTTTAGACTTCCGCTGATGTTTGATTTTGCTATCTAAAGTCATCAAAAGTGGAGTTATATCTACTCCTGGTTGGTTATGCACAGTTCAAGTGTTTCGCTGACTTAAAGTTGCACTGCTTGGATCCATTTGCAAAGCTGATTATTACGCAGAAAATGTAGTTGGCTTACTCTAAATCAATTCTCCTCCACTGAAGTCCTTCTCTTAGAGTGGTGTGGGGGTGATTCTGGCTTCTTGAAGACTGCTAGTTCAGTGTAAACTTGGGGGGGGCGGAGTTTGGATTGTACCAGCCTGAATTAAGGGCCATCATAGACTCTATGTCTCTTTCCCGAGGACTAGCCTAGCACAGGTCTGTACGTTAACAGATTGGTTATGTGATGATATGATGGTATTTTTGGCCACAGAAACTCCTGAAAGCCTGCGAAGTCATAGAGGAAACTTGCAATCTGTACCGACCCTAATGAAATCACAGGTTGTTGAAGTATTAAAATATGTCCAACTCAGGACCATTTCCCTTAGTAATTAAGGTGGCATACTTGGGTTCTAAATACAAATGCAAAGCAGTGCTTGTTGTATGGAGTATACTAAGACATCTGTGGCATTTTATAGCCAAAATGATTCTTCCTTATCCAGCAATGCCAACTTTTTTTGCGCTGGTACTTATGAACATATTTCTTGTGCGTGCCAGAAGCATTTTTCTCACATTGAATGGTATCAGTATTTTTGAACTGGGCATTTTGTCTCAGTTGAAAATGAACATAAGCGATTTTTTTCTTGTTTGTTACATAAAGAGGCATATATGTACTGATAAAATTTGTACTTTGGGAAAAATAACTGAACAAGGATGTGAATAATGAGTAACAAATATTTTTGTATTTTAGGTCATTGAACTTGACTTCGATCAGTTACCGGAGGGGGATGAAGTTATCAGTATTCTGAAACAGGAACATACTCAGTTGCACATATGGATCGCTTTAGCAGTTAGTATTTATTTAAATAAATGTTTTTCATTTGCTGACTAGGAAAATAAGTTCAGAATATGCTTCTTTTAAGACTCTACGTGTATCTGATTTCCACTCAGGCAAACTTTAGGTCCATTGTAGAATTATATTGTGTCCAAAGAAGTTCACTCTCTTATTGTTTGTAGAACAATTCTGACATATTAAATGTACAATATTTCATCATTTTGAAAGAAATATTATTTAAAATAATCCATATAAGTTCTATTCATAAGGTTTTTTGTTTTCTTAAAGTGAAAACTGGTATCAGCTAAAGACTGTTCCTCCTCCCAAGTTTCTAGGAAATATAGACAACGGAAGCAATTGCCTGTACAAATGCAGTAGACGTTTCTTAAGTGCCTGTCATGTGCCAGGCTTTTTGTTAGGAGCTTAGGATGTAAAGGCAAACCCAAAATCATTTCTCCTTATCCTGCTTGTATTCTCTTCAACGATGCCACATAGAAGAAGAGTTATTTTTGGGAAGGAGAGAGTTTCAACTATCATCTCTATGTACAGGATTCCCAGTTTATAATATAATGTTAATCTCTGTCCTGAACTCCAACTCCATAGCGCCTCTGCCTACAGGACATTTCCATTTAGATCTCCTGTTAGTACCTCAAACACACGTTCAGAACAGAACTAATCTTCCCCAGTAAACTGACTCCTTCTCCAAATGTTCCCGTTTTTCTTTCCAGTGTCCCATGTCCTCACCCTAGGAATAATCTTTGACTCTGCCCTCAACCTCATGTTCAGTCACTTGCCAAATCTGTTAGGTTCCACCTCCGCAAAATTTCTTAAATCTGCCATCTTTTTTCCATTCATGTAACTGCTCCTTTTATCAGGGCTTTATTGTCTCTTGCTTAGGCAATTGTAGTAGATTCCTAATGGTTCTCTTTGCTTCTGATTTCTCCCTTCTCCAATCCATCTTCCACATACCTGCCAAGTTAATATTCTTGAAACAGATTAACCCACATCACTACCCATGTTCAAAATCTGACCTCAGCCTACTTGTCCAGATATATTTCATGCTACTATTCCCCTCCCCACACTCTTGAGTTGCAGTCAAATTGAGTTACTAGCTGTGTCTCGAATTTGACAGTCCATCTCCTTGGCACATTTGCACAGACTATCCCCCCGTGACTGAAATGTGTGTGCCTCTGAATCCCTAGTTTCCTTGAGGGTTCAGCTCAGTTGCTGTCTCCTATCTAATTTTCCTTTTTTACTTTTTAGTTGGAATATTACAAGCAAGGAAAAACAGAAGATTTTGTGAAGTTGTTGGAAGCAGCTCGAATAGATGGAAACCTGGATTATAGGGACCATGAAAAAGACCAGATGACTTGCTTAGATACATTGGCAGCCTACTATGTCCAGCAGGCCAGGAAGGAAAAAAACAAGGACAACAAGAAGGAGCTCATTACCCAGGCAACCTTGTTGTATACGATGGCTGACAAAATTATCATGTATGATCAGGTAAAAAAAAAAAAAAAAACTTTCCCTAGGTATGGTTTCAACAGATAGCTGCTGGGTGTGATTTACATTGAAGGTGCATCTTGTTGTTTAATGAAATAGACTCATTTAAAGAAATGAATGTTGGGGGCAGCTAGGTGGCACAATGGATAGACCACTGGCCCTGAAATCAGGAGGACCTGAGTTCAAATCCGGCCTCAGATCAAACACTTGACACTTACTAGCTGTGTGACCCTGGGCAAGTCACTTAACCCCAATTGCCTAAAAACAAAACAAAAAAAAGAAATGAATGTTCATGACGAAAAACATCTTTGTGGTTTTGTAAAATCTTTGGTTAAATGGTTGTAGTGAATCTGGGCTCTTTCTGATATGGTTGGTGTCCCCCTCCACCTCATACAGATCACTCAGCACCTCCCGTCCTCATCCTGTGCAGTTCTCATTTCCGTTCTTCCCAAAATCCTCCAGAAGAGCTGCCTAGCACACTGCATACCTCCTACAGGCCTCTTAATATTCTGGAGGCACTGGTGCAGGCCTCCGACTGCCTGTCTCTTCTTATTCCTCGCGGTCACAATGTGACCAGCCTCCCTTGTTTTCTGGAAGGCATGTCCTCGATGACGTTTTACAGGTCCCAGTCACTGTTGGTAATACAGGTTCATAGGGTCATAGATGTAAAACCAGAAGGAACCTCAAATGTTATCTAGTCCAACTCCTTCAATTAAAAGATAAGAAAACTGAACCCCTGAGAGGTGAAGTGATTTGGCCAAAGTAAATGATTTGCAGAACTGGATTTGTACTCTGATGCTGTGAATCCCACCATTGCATTGTGCTCTTTTACATCCATCATTCAACTTTCCATTGCTTTTTGGGTTGATTCCAGGGTTGATTCTCTAGGATTGTAGTGGAAATGATTTGTAGCCATATAGCACCCATCATCTGGAGAATATTGGTGTTAAAAAGATGAAATTTATGATAGGGAATAGCTTGGGTTAGTTGAAAGTTCCACTTATAGAAAGTTGAAAGTACAGTTCAGTCCATTGTCATCCTCCTATTCACTTCTGATTGATTTTTATGAAGAAGTTAGTTGCATGAATGTAACAGGCAAAATTCTCCTGTAAAACACACATTTTGAATGGGCAGTTTAAGCATCATCATATTTTCTTTCGGTGGGGGATCATAGGTTTCAGATGGAATTTGGAAACTTGTAATTTTGTTTTTGTCATCAGAATTACTGGCGAAAATATGCATTTTAGGACAGTTTTTTTAAGATTATAGTTAAGAACTATCCACCAGCTACTTATATGTTACAATTAAGGGAATTTACCTCCATTTATCACATCTTACCTGTTTTTTCCATTATCACAAGTTCTTTGGAAGTAAATATTGGCCATCTGCCATAAGGGAAATCTAATTTGGTGCTTCTTTTTATCCAGAACCATTTATTGGGAAGAGCCTGCTTCTGTCTGTTGGAAGGTGACAAAATGGACCAGGCTGATGCACAGTTTCATTTTGTACTCAACCAGTCTCCAAATAATATACCAGCCCTTCTTGGTAAGCTATCTTTAGTAGCCATCTTAGGAATCTTATTTCTTCCCCTGTGTCAGGAATACAGCTCTCATTAATTGAAAGTTAGACCCTGGCCCTTCAGCAAAGGGGAAAGAATTTTGTTTTAGTAAAAATAAAGCTTATCCTCTGAAGAGTGCCTTAGAAAGTTCAATGGAGAAAATCTGTGATGAAGAGAAAACATAGCCTGTAGGTTATGCTTTTAAGAGGTTCAATTATTTTGGCAAGAATTTTTTTATCGTTGAAATTAATTGGAATTAATTGCTTTCAGAATTAAGAATAATACATTCCTGAGCACTGAGTGTTTAATAAACAATGATCCCTCTTTATTTGGCCAGCATACCAGACTGGTTCAGAGAATTATTTCAAAGATAAAGATAGAGCTGTTCTGTTTATGGGCATAAATTATTACTCCTATGTTGGGGTTAATTGCTGATCCTGAAAGTGCATTGCTTTTTGTGTGTATTTATTTGTACTGAAATCTTATGCACACCTTACATTCTTTAAACTAGCAGTACCTATTGACTTTGCTTCTTTTTTTTAAATCACGACAGGTAAAGCTTGTATTTCATTCAATAAGAAAGATTACAGAGGAGCCCTTGCATATTATAAAAAAGCACTGCGCACCAACCCAGGCTGTCCAGGTAAGGGAAGAACAGATAGGCTCAAACTGTGACCCAGCTTAAAATATTGATAGTTTAGTGGAATGCTTTTTAACTCTGAGGTTACATGAGAAAATGTACTTCAGATGGAAGTGGAAATGACATCAAGAATTTAAAAAGTCTTCAGTTGGTTTTTAAAACAAGGTAATAGGTGATATTGTGCCCCTTTAAGTCAGAGAATATATTAGAATTGAAAGCATGAGTCTCTTCCACAGCATTCCCAACAGTCTTGTAGTTTAAGAACTCCATTGACAAGGAACTCGCTACTTTCCAAGGTAGCCCGTTCACTTTCAGATAGCTCTAATTACTGGGAAATGTTGTCTTATCTTGAATTAAAATCTGCTTCTCTTTGGCTTCCACCTTGGTTCTTCCCTCCTAAGCGAAGCAGAACAAGTCTAATAACCTCTTCCTGGTGTGAATCCTTAAGATATCTGAAGATAGTCATCATGCCCCTCCTAACCTATGTTGTCTCTCATACCAGTACTCTGAGATTCTTCTACTGATCCATGTGGCACAGTTTCGGCCCTGGTGGCTTCCTTTGGGCATGTTCTTTCTTGGTAGTGTCCTTCCTTAAATGTCATTCCCAGAACTGAACACAGTGATCTAATTGTGGTCTGACCAGGGTGAAGGACAGTAGGATTTTCCTGATTCCCCTCCCTAACCCCCACCCCCCCCCAAAAAAACTAGATTGTGTATTTTATATTTACTTAATGCGTTCATGTTCCCCCTGATAAAATGTCAGCTTGAGCACAAGAACTGTTTGGTTTTTGTCTTTATGTCCCTAGGGCCTAGCACAGTGCTTGACACGTAGATGTTTAATGTGTGCTCATTGATTGATTCAGTGAGATACTTGGCTGAAATCCAGGTATATTCTACCTCTTTTGCCTGTTCTCCCAGTCTCGTAAGTCTGTCGAAAAAGGAAGTAGAATTAATTATCACAATTTCTTTTCACCTTTAAATTTTTAGTGTCATGCTGCATTCAGGGAAGTAAATATCAGTCATCAATTGTTAAATCAAAAACATTTGTTAAGTGTTTACTATGTGCTACTTACTGTAGTCATATCCTATAGCCAGAGATAGATTTCAGTGCTTCGGTATTTCATTGCCCTGCCTTTTGGCCACTTCCTTACGTGTAAGCAAGAAAACGGTTAGTAGCATTGTGTTTCATGAGTGGCTGTCAGTCTTATTGCCCTCTTTTTAAAGAGAGTGGTTTTGGCCACAGATGTCTGGTATACTTTCTAATGACACCACTCTGTCACCTAAAGCCTTTTCTCCTTAGTCACCGTAGGAGTTCACTAGAAAACCCAGCTGTGGTTTGCTGTTTATTGCTTTGACTCTTCACTGCCTGCACAAAACCTTTTCTTTAAATGAATGCCCTTTCATTCTCTCAGACAAGCAAGTAGTGGTCAGGATGCGTGAGCATCTTTGTGAGCATCAGCAAACCATCTTTGGCTAAGCTGTTGTGTTACGTAAGGTGCAAATCTGTGAAAGGGATAAATATTATGGACAGTACTTTGTTGTTGATCACAGGGCTTTTCACTTTCAAGGGAACCTCTTGCTTTTTCTGCCTGAAAATTGTCATTCAGAAGCACAGTCTAACAATGGTGTTGGGAGATATATAACACACCAGAATTAGGTATTTTGCATTCTTGTGGGGAAGGTTTACGTCATTTGATACATGGGGAAGGAACTATCAGGGAGGATATGATTTGACGTATTGAAAAAACAAATCAGTGTAACAGGACTCTTGATAATGGAGTTTACTGTAGTTGTTTAAAATATAGAAGGGTTAAATAATGGAGCTTTAGAAATTCCTTAGTTTAACAGGTTGAATGACGTGATTTTTGTTTTTTTAGCTGAAGTCCGCCTAGGAATGGGACATTGCTTTGTAAAACTGAACAAACTGGAGAAAGCTCGTCTGGCTTTCAGCAGAGCCCTAGAGCTCAACTCCAAGTGTGTGGGAGCATTAGTTGGATTGGCTGTTCTGGAACTCAATAATAAAGAGGTACGTGAGTAAGAAAACAATCCAAGCATTGATTGATGTAGTTATCAATAGAGAAATCCTCAAAGAATCCGTTTATCTAAAAAGATGAGTCCAAAATATAGATTGGAAAAAGGAACCATATTTTCCTGTATAAACAGGTTCTTTTTTTCTCTGCAGAATGTAATGGTATCTTCTTACAAATCATCTAAAAAATATTTGTAAGATGGCCTTGTTTACAGAAGAGGAGCAATGCAGCCAGACTAATATTATCACAGGCACTTAAATAACAGATGTGATAGACTTTTGTGAAAAGTTCCTTTACAGCTAAAAATGTAATGCAAAACAGAATGTACTGGAGTATTTTGTATCGCTTGCCCTATTGAGCTAGTGTTAATTTTAAATCATTTGTGTCAAATGATGTTCATATACCCAAAATTAGAACATGGGGGAATATTTCTAAAGCTAAAACTAGAATAAAGTTGTGCTTGCCTTTGATTAATTATTGGGAAACATAGGTACCTTAAGTTGAATATTCAGACAAGTAAAGTAAGAGCTAAACTGTTTACCTGGGTTTGGCTTTGTGTGATGTTCGTATCTTTAAAAGTTTGGAAAGAAAACATTTTAGAAAAAGTGCTCTCTGAATATTATGCAGTCATACTCTCAACCCAAACCTTGTCTTTTGTTTAGGCTGACTCTATCAAGAATGGCGTCCAGCTTCTTTCCCGAGCTTATACGATTGATCCTAGCAATCCTATGGTACTGAACCACTTGGCAAATCACTTTTTCTTCAAAAAGGTTTGAGAAATCTTTTATCTTTAACTCTTGATTTTACTTCAAAACGTACGATGTTTCACTTTCTTTTACACTAATGGAAAGTTAGTCTGAGGCCAAATAGGTATAGGTTGGGACCTGAGTTTTTATATTGACCCCTCGTTTGATGGACATGGTCTGGGGTCTCTGTGTATTTGATGTGCTCTCTCAGTGGAATTGGAAGAGGAGTAGAATTAGAGTTAGAAAGGTGGCTTCAAGTCCTGGCTCAGACCCTTTCTAGCTGTGTGCCCCAGGGCAGGCCACTTACACTCTCTGACCTTTATCCCTTTCACCCTTATCTGTAGAACGGGAGATCATAATATTTGTGCTCCCCACCTTTGAGGGATGTTGTGAAAAGGAAACTTTGCAGACCTTAAAGCTGTATGTAAGTTAAGCCATTATTACAGGAAGTGTGATGAGTGTGCCTCTTTATAGTGACAGATATGTGGAGGACATTCTATACCTGTATAAATGGTGACAGCTTTGTTGTGGTCCCTATAGAGTAAAATTTGAGCCTTTTAATTTGTAGGAAGTGGTTTCTTACTTCAGTCTGTATAAAATTCTAACTGGTAGCTTTTAATAGATAAAATAGATAAAAGAATGCATTTCTTTTCCTAACACACCCCACTAAAGTAAAGAATTATTGAGTGCATGGTGTCCTTTTCATGGCATGGTTTTATTGAACAATGGTAATGGGGAAAACTCAAATAAACTCTGAGATAAAGTACCAACGATAATGTTTATTTTAGTCACCTAACTCTTGTATTACTTTGGAAAAATTTTGTATAACATCATCTTTTATGATTGAGGTGGTTTGGTGTCTTATAACTTCTTGTACTCTTCATTTTTCAGGATTATAGCAAAGTCCAGCACTTGGCTCTCCATGCTTTCCATAACACAGAAGTGGAAGCCATGCAGGCAGAAAGCTGTTATCAGCTGGCTAGGTCCTTTCATGTTCAGGAAGACTATGATCAGGCTTTCCAGTACTATTATCAGGCCACCCAGTTTGCCTCATCCTCTTTTGTACTGCCCTTTTTTGGTTTGGGCCAGATGTATATTTACCGAGGTGACAAAGAGAACGCGTCTCAATGCTTTGAGAAAGTTTTGAAAGCCTATCCCAACAATTATGAAACAATGAAAATTCTTGGCTCTCTCTATGCTGCTTCAGAAGATCAAGACAAACGAGACATTGCCAAGGTACATTTCAAATCTTAGTTATTCTGAAATAACCTCCAGATGGATGTCAGTCAGTAAACATTCATTAAGGAACTCCCACATACCAGGCGCTGTGCTAAGTGCTGGGGATACAAAAAGAGGCAAAAGAAAGTCCTTGCCCTCCAGGAGCTTACAGGCTGGTAAAGGAGACAGCAGGCAAACAGATATGTACAGATAAGCTGTGTATAGGATAAACAGGAAATAATTAAAAGAGGGAAGGCACTAGAATTGAGGGGTTGGGAAATTCTGCTTGTAGAAGGCGGGATTTTTAGATGGGATTTGAAGTATTCCACGGGCAGTCATTCTAACATTATCTGTTACCGCTAGAAAAAAACTAACAATAGAGTTTAATATTTCAGAAAAGTGGTTATTTTATCTATACCCCACCTCCTCTACTGACAAAAATCACACAACTCCACTTCATTTTAGAAAATAGTGTTCATGACTTGTTATCACCAAATAATTCATCCCCTGATGACCACCCTTCTGGGGAAGCGCTTCATTCCTCTTACGCAATGTGGACCTGGGACAGTAGATCCCTGGAACTAATCTTCTGATCTGGCTTAGGATCCCCAAGGCTTGTGCTCCATTGTCCTTAGCCCTTTACAAACTCAGGCTCGCCTTCATGCCTCAAGAATAAGACTTCAAGGGAAAATCATCTAATCATATACTGTTTTGTGGTTTACCAAGGGCTTTATGGATGGGATAACTCCAGTTTTCACATTAGCTCAAGCTCATAAAGGTTGAGTAACATGCCCAGGGCCAGACAGGGAAGTCATAGCAGAGCTGGTATCCAGCTCACTTCCTGACTTTGAGTCTACGGTCTTTCTCTTCCTTGGTGCTTCCTAAACATTAATGATTTAATTTCTGTCACCTTAATAAGCACTACTTTTGGATGCTTTAATGCTGCATTCATGGTGACTTATCTTGGTGACTTTTGGATGTCACACTGATTCTGACATCTCCTCTGTCTCAGGGCCACTTGAAGAAGGTCACAGAGCAGTATCCAGATGATGTTGAGGCCTGGATCGAACTGGCACAAATCCTAGAGCAGACTGACATACAGGTACGTGGTGTAGAATTCCCTTTTAGCTGGGCACTGCCCGCTCTGTGACATAAACTGTGTAAAGCATTGGTCACCATCATGACTTAGGCCTGCTTCTGTCTATGTGGGCTTACAGGGTGCCCTGTCAGCATACGGAACAGCAACACGTATCCTTCAGGAAAAAGTACAGGCTGATGTCCCACCAGAGATTCTGAATAACGTGGGTGCCCTCCATTTTAGGCTTGGAAACTTAGGGGAGGCAAAGGTGAGAAAATGGGATGTCTGTATCCTTCTGGAGTGTGTAGTTTTTTTTTTAAAGTCGGCCCTGACCTAACATTTTTTTTGAAAGTTGTTTTTCTATTTTTAACAGAAATATTTTTTGGCATCTTTGGATCGTGCTAAGGCAGAAGCTGAGCATGACGAACATTACTATAATGCCATCTCAGTTACAACATCGTACAATCTGGCCAGGCTTTATGAGGCAATGTGTGAATTCCATGAAGCAGAAAAGCTGTACAAAAATATATTACGAGAACATCCTAATTACGTTGACTGTAAGAATTTTAAGTTACTTTTTAAAAAATCCTACATGTCATTCAGTTACTCATTCAGCATACATTTATTTAACAAACATGCCAAAATGAGAAATGTTGAAACTTGTTAAATCAGCAAATACTCATTAGATGCCCACTATGTACTTAGTATAGCATTAGCTGTAGAATATGTAAAAGACACATTCTCTGGCTTCACAGAACTTAACTCTTTACTGGGCAGATTTGAGTGTGGCTTTGAGAATGAGTCAGATTGAAGGAGAAGGTGGGGACATTCCAGATGAGGGGGAATGGCTAGAAGAGAAGTATGGCTGAATCTGGGGGCAGGGTTAGGTGGATAGGCACACTGCCTGTAGGTCATAGGAAGGAGGCAGAACTTTCTTCAACTGAGGTGAATATTGGGAGAAATTTGGGTGGTGGGCGAGATTTGGGCATTGAACAGTAGACTGAAGAGGTAGAACTTAAGCTAGAATTTGATTTTGTAGAGCTGGTCTTTTAGCATACATTTCTTTCAGGCTATTTACGCTTAGGAGCAATGGCTAGAGATAAAGGAAACTTTTATGAAGCTTCAGATTGGTTTAAAGAAGCTCTTCAGATCAATCAGGTTGGTAATATTAAATCCTTTTTGAGAAATGAAAATTTTCAGTTTATTGTCTAATGAATGAAATTATTTCCTTTTAAAAACTATGACCTATTGGTCTCAGGTCTATTTTTTCCCAACTTTTATTTCTTTTAAACACAGTGGTGGTAAAAAAAAAAAAATGCAGGTTGTATTGCTGTGCACTAGTTTTGTGGACTTTTGGGCGACATAGACTCATAAAATGTCAAGAGTTAGAGAGGACCTAAAAAGTCATTTAGTCCAACCTCCTATTTTATGCATTAATTACCTTCTACTGCATCCCCAGCAAGTGGTAATCCATTAAGCAGTGTTTGATACCCAATATTATGTATGTACAGCTATTCCATCTGTTCTTATCCTCCACCTTTTCTCTCAACTACTACCCCTCCATAAAAGTAAAGTAACCTGCACTCCCATTTCCACATGACTTGGGATGAAATTCATCCCTATGTGTAGAGTGAATTCATTTACATACTTTGTTTTTGTGATGCCTCGTCCTTCAAATCCTTGAAGTTTTATTCCCAGTCCATTGGGCTTTCTGTTATACTGTATTTGAAGAGTTAGCCTGGGAAAATGGACTACAATATCTTGGAAGTCCTCAATCTTGTCCTAGCTCTTCCACTGCCTACCTTATAATTACAAGGAAGCCCCTTCCTCTCTGAGGCTCAGTTTCTTCTTCTGTAAAATGAGGTAGGTGGGTTTAAACCAGATGATAGCTAGAGTGCCTTCCAATTCTTAACTTTCTGGGACCTAGAATATTTATAAACTTTTAACATGTGTTTCAGGATCATCCAGATGCTTGGTCTCTGATTGGCAATCTTCATTTGGCCAAGCAAGAGTGGGGTCCAGGTCAGAAGAAATTTGAAAGAATATTAAAGCAACCATCCACTCAAAATGACACATATTCTATGCTGGCCCTTGGCAATGTTTGGCTGCAAACTTTGCATCAACCCACCAGAGACCGAGAGAAGGTAATATCTTTATTTACTGAAGGTAGGATTTGGCTGTCTTTGACTGAACTCCCTAGCATCTCTAACTAACGGTGTCATTTCTCTTCTTTAGGAAAAGCGGCATCAGGATCGTGCACTAGCCATCTACAAGCAAGTCCTCAGAAATGATCCTAAGAACCTCTATGCTGCCAATGGCATAGGTAGTGTAAGGCTTGTATATTTGCACTAGTTTGAAATTTATGATTCGGAGACGAGTGATGGTGAATCTTAGTTCAACACTGAGGTTATTACCCTGAATTTCTCTATAAATACAATTATTCTGAAATATGATTTGCTATTTTTATTTGTCCTAATTTCCTACTGGGCACTGTCAGCTTAAATAAAATGGTTTTTTGTTTTGTTTTGTTTTGTTTTTTTGCATATTTCACTTCTCTTTAGGTGCTGTGCTAGCCCACAAAGGATATTTCCGTGAGGCTCGTGATGTATTTGCCCAAGTAAGAGAGGCAACCGCAGATATCAGTGATGTGTGGCTAAACTTAGCACACATCTATGTGGAGCAGAAGCAATATATCAGTGCTGTTCAGATGGTAATGTATATATGTTTTCCTTGGATCATCTAAAAGAAATAGAAAATTTGAGATAAAAATACTGTTTTAAGACCAGTTTTATTGATGGACTTGAACGTTTACTTTCTTAACCACTTCTGCCCTCTAGTGGAATTAAATGCCATTCTTTTGTCATTCTTCCTAACGATGTCTATTCAAAAATTTAAGTCAGAGGCTATTATGAACAAACTTAATGGGACATTATTGTTTTTAGTATGCATTAACTATGTTTTTAGTATACATTAACTTGAGGTGAGATAATGCAGTACCTGAACTCAAGTTAGGAAATGCTGTAAATCTGATAGAAAAATGTATACATCTTAAAATTGTAAAATTTCTAAGGTGAGAGGCTAGAGATTATTTAATGCAATGTAGCCACCAAATGGTCACTCAGCCCTTTTCTTGGATACCTCCAGTAACGCGAAACTCATGGGCCAGCTTATTCCACTTTTGGATATTTTTTTTTTGAGTTTTTAAAATAATTTTTTATTATAATCTTTTGTTTCTACAATTTTAAATGTTATCTACATTTTAAAAGGATGAAGAATAAGTTCAGCAAAAGTAACCAACACATGGAAAAAAATCTGACATTCTCTGTAGTGTTGCACACTCATAGTCCTCTCACATGTGCTAAGTGTGGGGAGGTGGTACCCTCTCATATCTCTTCTTTAGGCCAGTTGTCATTTGCAGCATCCTGTTCTGATTATTTTGTTATTCTTTCCTTTAACATTGTTGTAGTAATTGTTTTTACTGTTTTCTTGGTTCTGTTTCCTTCACTTTACATCAGTTTGTCTTGAACCTGCAGTCTTGAAGCCATGTGTGGCCTTCTAAGTCTTAGGGTGCGGCTGAGTCCAAGTTTTCCAGAACAAATCTTTTTATGAAGGGACTTTGTTCTGTGAAGTTTGGATTCAGTCAGAGGGCTCCCTGCCCCTGGCACTCAAAATCTGCCGGTATTTCTCTGTATTCTTCACATTCATTCTTTCTTGCAGAGTGTGCCACAGTTGGTTTAGCCATTCCCTAATCAATGAGCATCTTTTTCAGTTCTTTGCTAGTACAAAAAAATTGTGCTATAGATATTTGATGTACATAGGGCCTTTTTTCTTGTCATCAACCTCTTTTGGATATATACCTAAGCAATGGAATTTCTGGGTATGGACAATTTAGGCTGTATCACAGATTCAAAGATAGAATGGTCACATTCTTTTGCACATAGTAGAAGCCAGTATTTGTTGAATTGAACTGACGGTTTTCGTAGTTTCCACTTAGACAGTTCTTTGTGGGTAAGAATCAGGTCCAGAATACTCATTCCCCTTTTTTCATTCTTCCACCTTTTAAAAGATGAAATTATCATTAAAACAAATTCTGAAATTGATTTGCTCTTGGCAGAGAGAGAATGTGCCAACAGATATCCAGGTATTTGAATCCCCCGTCCACTGCTAGAGCATTTTCCTGTGTAAGACTTATGATCTCTTTAGTAAATTCTTCATCTTTTTCCTCTTTTAGTCTAGCTAGTCTATAAGATACTCCAAATACAGGATCTTTGATCTTTACCTCAATGCTTTCCTGCCTTAGTTCCCAAATTTTCTCATATGAGCATATCTTTTTAATATAGAATGCTGTCTATACAGAAGGGAGAGCCTAGTCATGGGTCTCATGCCACCAAGACTTAGTGATCTTTGTGGGACCAAATTTGCCTCCTTCAGTTAATATCTCTTTCTCTCCTTGCTTATTTCTCGTACTTGGTATGTTTGTGTTTAAACATCTCAGGCCAGAGGTTTTAAGTAACTGTCCATTTGCTTGGATTTTGTTTCCTGTAAATTTCAGAATATCTATTTTTTTAGTCTTCTTACATTGTAACATTTCTTTAATCATATCCAGCTTCATGGATATTTGTAGTGATTTTCTCCAAACCTCTTTTCAGTTTAAGCTCTTTTGATAACATTTGCAAGTTTCCATGCAAATACATTCTAATTGGTCCTTCTTAGACATACTCACTCCCTGACCAGCATCCTGTTGATCAATAAGCATTTATTAAATGTCTACTGTGTGCTCGGCACTGTTGATACGATTTTAACTTGTGGTTCAGAAATCCAAATGCTGTTCTCAGAGTTCATCTTTTTAACAGCCTGACCGCTTCCTTCTCCATGCCTGTTTTACTTGTTTACAAAGTGGAGCTGGTAATAACATTATTGCTTACACATATAGCTGTTGTTGAGGACCAAATGAGATAATGACTGCAAAGTGCTTTATGAACCATTAAACACTGTGTAAATGTTAGCTACCGCCATTTTATGTAGTGAGACTTAGGGAAGCTGGGACCAGAAGAGGCATTTATTGTACATTCATTCTAGAAATTGAGATTAACTCAACCAGTTGCCATCTGCCAGGCTGTGAAAATGGCCTTATTGTACAGAACCTGATTGCAGTAGTAATATTTATTTTTTAGGCATTCTACCTATTAAAAAAAATCACAAGAAAGTTCCTGTGTGAGGTCCTATAGTTGTCTTGATTTATTTTGCTTATCTTTAGTAGCCAGTGGGCTCCTTCTTTCTTGCTTTTGGTCAGGCCCTCAGCCGCCACCAGTAGGGCTGAGCCAGGACAGGGTTGAAAATAGGGACTATATGGTTGGGGCTGGGAAGAAAATATGGGAGGGCATGTTATTGTTCAAAATTATATTTTGTTGTTATCTAGTCCTCTAAATTCATACTCTTCTGCCTGCCATTGGTACAGACAATTCAGAGTTTCTTGTGCCCCAAATTATAGAACAACACAGCTTTCTCAAATGCATTTTTGAATGGTCCAACTTTGTTGCCAAAGTGTGTCCTGGGGAAAGTTAAAACAAAAACACAACTGAGATAATTTTCTGAAAATGTAGAACCTTTGAAAAGGCCTTGCCCTTTTGATGAGCAGTGCTTTAATTGCATGGACTCACGCTATTCAACTGGAATGGTCTTGTAATCTCTGTTGTGTTTCAAGCTCTCTCTCTTTCCTTTATAGTATGAAAACTGCCTCCGCAAGTTCTACAAACATCAGAACACAGAGGTGGTGCTGTATTTGGCCCGTGCCCTCTTCAAGTGTGGCAAGCTGCAGGAGTGCAAGCAGACTTTGCTCAAGGTAAAAAGTTTGGTGCTTGGGGTCATGAGATTGCTCCATCAGACTTTTTTGTTCATGTGTGTGCATCTCTGAAAGCTACCTGAACAAAGATGATAGACCAAGACTCGTCTCTCAGATGGCTTAGCTCATGAAACCTATTTCCTTTTGCTTTGTATGAGCACAGGCTAGACATGTCGCACCCAGTGATACAGTTCTCATGTTCAATGTGGCTCTGGTACTGCAGAGGCTAGCTACATCTGTTCTTAAGGATGAGAAGAGTAACCTCAAGGAGGTACTTAATGCAGTTAAAGAACTGGAACTTGCCCACAGGTAAACAAAGAGCTTTTAGAAATGTCATTTGGAATACTGTATTTCTTTATTCAGTCAACAAACATTTCTTAAGTGTGTTAAGATACTGAGGCATCAAGAGAGACACCTATAAAGAGAAATAAAATAGGTTTCCTACCCCCAGTCTACTTAAAATCTAGTTGTAGTAATCTACAAACCTGGAGTTCCCAAAGTCTGCTTAAGTCAATTTCTTGACTACAGAATAAGGAAACAGTGTTGCTGGGAATACGTTATGTAACTGATTTAATGTATTTCCAGCAATATTTAACCTGGGCAAACTATTTTTACATGAGCCCTTTTCTGATTTGTTGAAGTATTTATTTTTCTTCAATACTTAAAAAAAAAACAAAAAACGAGGGTAGCTAGGTGGCGCAGTGGATAGAACACTGGCCCTGGGTTCGGGAGGACCTGAGTTCAAATCTAGCCTCAGACACATAATACTTACTAGCTGTGTGACCCTGGGCAAGTTACTTCACCCCATTGCCTAGCCAAAAAGCAAACAAACAAAAAAAAAAACCAAACAAACAAAAACCCGCGATTCCATTTGTGTGGATACCTCCTTCATGGACACAGAGTACTTACTGTTACAGGATTTTAAATCTGGTAAAGAAACCTTTTGCCTTCAACATATCTCGTGTTTATATTTTTAACTTTTTAAAACCTCCTTGAGGGCAGAAAATGTTTTGTTTTTTTTTTTAAATAATTCTTTCTGTTCTCCACAAGTGCCTAGAATATAGTAAGTACTTATTAAGTGGTTTTTAGGACATCCTGGCTTAATCAGAACTTAATTTTTGGTTTAACTGAGGACAGTATTAAATATTAATTTCCTTATTTTGATGAACTTTGCTATGTTAAAATATTTTTTCTTATTGCCGATAACTTTACTCATTATTGATTTTAATTATAAACATATTTTGTGTGCTCTTTAAAATGTCATTGATCTCATTTTACTTTTGATATGATAGCATTTTTTGTAGAGGTAGAGTCATGCACAAAAGCCAGCATATGAGTCTTTTAAAGGTTTTTTTAAATTGCAAAGCAAATTTAAAATTCTAAAATGATTTGTTTCTTTAGACATTGAATAATTTTAAAAATAATGTATAAAATGTTCTTCAACTTATTATTAAATATTTTTTTACCCCCATATTCAAACTAGGTATTTTAGTTATTTGAGTAAAGTAGGAGACAAAATGAGATTTGACTTGGCCCTCGCTGCTACAGAAGCCAGGTAAGAGTCTTTATGTTGCTAAAACATAGTATTGTTGGTACTAATAAACTTTGTCAGGTGTGGCTATTATTTTATGCTGCTAGTGATTGCCTGGAAAGTGTAGCAACAAAATCAAAGGTTCATTCTTCTAGATTTGCCCAAGATAGGTCTGAAGGGATGGTTGTAGTAGTATTGTGGAAAGAGTTTTAGATGGATTAGGTCTTGGGACAACTGGGTTCTGTTCCTAGCTCTGTAACTCACTGCCAGTTTGTATGACAGTGGGGAAGTCCTTTATTCTCCATCTCTGGGCAGTTGTATTGTCTTGTATTTACTCATATTTGTGTGTATGGTGTTTTGCTAAAGAGAATGTAAGCTCCTTGAGGGCAGAGACTGCTTTTGTCCTTTTATTCTTTTTTTTTCTTTTTGTTCTCTATATCGTTGCCAGCACCTACATGCTTCATAATAGATGTTTGATAAATATTTATGGGTTGGTTGATTGTAAGGTTCTTTTCAAATATGTCATCCTATGCCTCTGTGATGTTTAAATTTCTAAAAATCTCAGCTGTTCTGTGAACCCTCCCCATCCAGACCAAGGTTACTCTTGGTGAGGCCTGGTGTCCTCTTAGGGAATTTGCCAGACTGATTAGGAACAGCTGCTGTCCATGGAAAGCTGACTTTAGGCCAATCATAGAGTAGCCTTTCTGGGTGTCCGTGATGTGAAGAAGTTGGGGGGCAGAAGACCTTCAGGGTTCCTTCCACCTCTGAACTCTGTGAACTCTGAATTTCAGTAAAGGACTTGGGTGGTGTTTGCTGTGTCCCCAGAATCAAATGTACGACCCAAGTCCAAGTCACAATGTATGAGTCTGAGTTTGACATCTTCTCCTCCTCTCAGAGGAAAAAATATTTCTTAGCATTGCTTTAAACTTCAGTGTGTGTTTTTGATTAAACAAATGGTTGTTCTTGTGAATTAAGGCTTGACATAAATATCAAATTAGGCTCCAAATTAGGTTATTTGCATTAAAAGGATCAGCCCCACCACCTGTGTTTTTCTAAATGTTCCAGGCAGTGCTCTGATTTGCTGAGCCAGGCTCAGTACCATGTGGCCCGTGCACGCAAACAGGATGAAGAGGAGAGGGAGCTCCGGGCCAAGCAGGAGCAGGAGAAAGAATTGTTACGGCAGAAACTGCTGAAGGAACAGGTTCTGTTGGCGTGTCTCTCTGGGGTGTGGCTGCAGTGGGGGGCTTCTGGGGCCACCAGGAACGGCCACCAGGGAGCCAGGGCCCTTGGGCACGCGCACAGGAGGCGTACTGACCAACTTCTCCCTTGTTCTTTGTATTTCACAGGAAGAGAAGCGTCTTCGAGAGAAAGAAGAGCAGAAGAAACTCCTGGAGCAGCGTGCACAGTATGTAGAGAAGACCAAGAACATCCTCATGTTCACGGGAGAAGCCGAAGGAACGAAGGAGAAGAAGAGAGGCGGGGGCGGCGGAGGCGGGGGCAGGGTGCGTACTCCTCTGTGTGATGGTGGAAATGGCCCAGGGAGCCCAGGCCACAGTGGAAAAGATCTGATAGTATTCCTTCACTGTAGAATGTTTAAAACTTGGACCTGACTCAGGCATCATTCCCTGGATACTTCCAAATGAGATTTAATGGATAAATGGAATGGAAGGTTGGAATAGGCATTTATTAAGTGCCTACTGAGCGTTAGGCACTAAACTAAGAGCTTTGTAAATGTGATCTCATTTGATCCTCACAAAACCCCTGGAGGTAGGTGTTATTATTAACCCTGTTTTATATTTGAGGAAATTGAGGCAAACAGGTTAAGTGACTTGCTCAGGGTTGCACAGTTAGTGTCTGAGGCTGGATTTGAACTCAAGTCTTCCAGACTCAGGCCTGGAGCGCTGTCCATTTTTCTACATTGCTACCTCAATAGAGCTGTAAAGTAAAAATAACTCTGATAGGGTAAATAGTTAGAGACCCTTTTTTGCTGTTTTGTTTTGTGATCAGTACTCAAGTGTGGTCCACTTAACAAGGAGTAATTGGGTTTGGTTTCCTTTGGGTTTCAGCGTTCTAAGAAGGGAGGTGAGTTTGATGAATTTGTCAATGATGACACTGATGAAGACATGCCTGTGTCCAAAAAGAAGAAGAAAAGGAAAGGCAGTGGAAGTGAACAAGAAGGGGAGGAGGAGGAGGGTGAGAGGAAGAAGAAAAAGCGGAGGAGGTAAGTTAGTCTTGAATGAGCCCTCAACTGGTGTTCTTAGTTTCCTGAAAACAAAGTGTTTTTCACAGATTTGTACTAAAGTATAAGAACAGTTTAAAGTTCGTCCAGTTTCTGACGCATAGTTTGTACTTGGATGGTGGGAGGGGCCTGTGGTGACACTCCTGGTGTGGTTTTTCCTTCCCCTGATGCAGATCAACCTTTCCACCCCTTCTCTAACTAATCTCTCTTTTGAGTCTCACAATATACACAATAGACCAAAGAGCAAAATCTATTTTAGAGTAGGCATGATCTTATTAAATTTTGTAAATTAGGTGCTGTTATTGTCCTCATTGTACAGATGAGGAAACTGATGCTGAGAGAATTTAAATGACTTGCTCAGAGTCACAGAGCTAAGGAGTGTCCGAGGCAGGATTCCAACTCGAGTTTTCCTGACTCCACATCCAGCACTCTACATCACACTTGCTTAGCTAGACCAGCCTCAAGTAATGAATGAATCAACGAATGTATGAAAAAGCATCTGTTAAGCACAAATGCTGCGTCCAGCACTGTGCTAAGCTCTGAGGATACGAATAGAAGAGTCAGGACAGTCGGGTTGGAGGAGGCAGCACACTAAGACAATTTAGCTGCAGGGTAAGGCCTGGGGTCCGTGTCCGTAGGTCAGATGTCAGTGCCTGGATCCGAAGGGCTGATGCTAAGACCTGGTGCTCCTCCGTCTTCCTAATCCTTATTAGAGATGATGAGTCTTCTATTGTGAGGAATGAGGCCCCCAGGTGATTCTGAAGGGAGTGGGGGAGGAGCAGGATTCTCCTCTTTTTCCTTCTCTCTCTTCACCTCCCCCCTGCTCCTACCCTAACATCGCCCTAAACCCCATCTTCCTTCTGCATAGCCATAATGAAGGTAATGAATTGTGGCATTCAGAGTTTGGCTGGCTCTGATAGATGTGGTAACATCTGCTTTTCCCTCTCTGCAATGTGGGTTAGGGAACTGTGGGATAGAGCTAGCCAGAACACTGCCTTAAGTTTAATTCCACATCGACAAACATGGAGTCTTCGCACAGAAATCTGTGCGCTTCCCTGGTGTCTTCAGCCCTTCCGTCTGCAGAGCCCAGGAGCATCTGCCCCAGCTTGTGCTCTGTTGGCATCACAGCCTTTGGGAACCTTTGGCCCTCTCCACGCCACAGGGAAGGATTGGAGCGGGATTTCTGTGGAGCTCATAGTGATGATGTTTAGAACATTGGGAAATCCTAGTCACCTAGATCTTCTAAGACATTTCAATTCTTTTCTTTTTTTAACCTCTCTTTCTTTAAGACATAAGTTCTTATTAACCTGAGGGCTATGAACTTGTTTTATAAAATTTGAATAGCTGTATTTCGACATAATTGGTTTCCTTTGTAATCCCTATGTATTTAAAAACATTTTTCTGAGAAAGGAATTCATAGGCTTCACAGGAGATCATGACAAAAACAATTAAGGATCCTGCTCAGACTGTGGCTTTGTGTGCAGCAAAGAATGCTGTGATATTGAAAAGACCTCAAACTATAACCGAACTTACAACATCTCGGAGTTGTTGTACTTTCGTATTTTTTGTGCAATGTGGATCTTTTGTTTCTGTTCGTTAAAAGCATTTGGAAAATGAGCAACAACATTCTACCCTCTGTAGCTTTGAGGAAGATATTTTTGGGTGCAGAAGAGCCTTGGTACTGTTCCTCAAATTACCCCCCTTTAAGTGCCTGCTTATCACAGACCTGTGTAAAGCTCACCCTGCCTTAGATTAACAGGAGAGGATTGATGTTTCCTAAGTCTATCAGCACATCTTTCTTGAGTGTATTAGTTTTGCTGTCTTGTGCCATAGAGGAGGGATCTACAAGGAATAGAAAACCTGGTCTCTCTCCTTGAGGACTTAATAATGCAGTTATGGACACAAACTATAGTATATAGCAGCATCTGTGAATAGGGTAATTTTTTTTTTTTTTTTTTTGGTGAGGCAATTGGGGTTAAGTGACTTACCCAGTGTCACGCAACTGGTGAATGTTATGTGTTTGAGGCCAGATTTGAACTCAGGTCCTCCTGACTCTGGGACCGGTGCTCTATGCACTGTGCCACCTGGCTGCCCCTACAGAGTAATATTCTAACAGGCATGAATGTTACTTAAGTATGTTCTTTGTCTCCTCGTCTTTATTAAGACCACCAAAGGGAGATGATGGCTCTGATGAGGAAGAAGCTGAAAATGGCCCCAGGCCGAAAAAGCGTCGCCCACTTAAAGCAGAAAAGAAGAAGGCTGTAAGTACATTCTGTGGAGTTTTCACACCCTATTCATCTGTGCATTTCTCTTTTGGGGAAGGATTGGAGCTGGGCTTGTGCTTTCATTTGCTATGTGGAACTCCCAGATGAGGAACCTCTCGAGCAGTGAAGATCCACAAGTTCTTGGCAGTTTCTCGGCTTAGATAGCTGCTGAGGGAACTTGCTCCGAGTCTTCTGAATTCTGAAACCGGCTCTCTTTGCACTCCCCCATGACTTCTTTCTTTTATTCCGTACCCACTGTAAATAAGATTAATAAGGCAGGTGCCCTCAAGAACCTTACAATTTTATGGGAAATGAGATGTTTACAAGTCAAGTAAAAAGACCAGACTGCTTGCCTAAGGAGAATACAAAGTGGTGAGCTCAAGAGAGCCGAGAGTTTATTTCTAGCTGGGGAATCTAGAAGGGCTCTAAGAGGAGGTAGCATTTGGGCTGTGCCATGCAGAGGCTGGTTAGGATAGTAGTGGTCAGAGGGGGAAGGCATTCCAGTGGTAGAACTAAGAAGAAGAGTAGTAATGATAGCCAATAACAATCCTGGGAGTTAGATGCTATTATTATCTCCATTTTATAGATGAGGAATTGGAGGTGAATGGAGGTTAAATGACTTGCCCAAGGTCACACAGCTAATAAGCACCTGAGGCTGGATTTGAGGCTGGCCCTACACCCCTCTCCACTGCATCCCCTAGCTATCTAAAAAGTGGGATCAAAGTGGGAATCAAAGGACTATTGGGTGGAGTAGTAAATTATGGAAGCTACTCAGTGAGGTTGGGAATTATCTTGTTTAATTGGTTCATAGAAGACATGATGAGGAATAATGGGCAATGAGGTTGACAAAATAGCTTGGAGTGGCCCTCAATGCCATGAGTTTGGATTGTGCTCAGTAAACAGTTGGAGGCTTCTGGAGTTATGGGGGGCAAGGGGAAGAGTATCATTCTGTACACCCTGAAAATAACTCCCTCACATAATGATACCGTGGGGCACAAGTGGTAGTGTTTTATTTAAAGTTATTCAGTTAGTCTTTGGTTCTGCATTATGTAATCAGTTTATCAAAATTATCTAGAATTAAATTTTTCACTAATTGTCTTTGTGTTTGATTTTTTTTTTTTTTTAGCCTAAGCCAGAACGGTTGCCTCCTTCAATGAAGGGAAAAATAAAATCAAAAGCCATAATCTCATCAAGCGATGATTCTTCAGATGAAGATAAACTTAAAATTGCTGATGAGGGGTAGGTATTTTTTCTCTTGGCAAATTGTTCTGCTGTGGTAATGTGTGTGGATGAAAATAGTTGTTAACTAAGCCTGTCTACTTGAAAAAGCTTTGTGTTCTTGTACCAGGGGGGAAATGGAGTTTGGAGGACATAGGATGAGGTCTGAGTGCCTTCACTAGTACTGAGTGCTTTGGCTAGTACAGAGCGTCCTCTGTGTTTTTCCTCTTCCCTCCCTGCCTCTATTTTCCAGCCACAGGAGGAGAATAGTGGGCTCTCGGTATTCGTGGGATGGAAAACGATGAATAGGGAAAGGGAGTTTTGTACTAGGGGGTTTCTGCCTTTATAATACTAGACTAAGATGAACAGAAGGGTCAGAAGACTTGAGCCTTCAGGCTGCCAAATTGTAACAGCATAAAAATTGTCCCCCTTATTCAGACCAACAAGCTATTCAGCCCATGATTCTATTTCTGACAGGCGCCAAAGGATGTGTTGCTGAAGGAGATAGTTGTCTTCTTTGATATCAGCTTTAATGGTGTGGGGAATGTCCCCTGAAACATCCCAGTTCTCTTCGTTCCCCATAGCTGAATTCCTCTGTGCTTTTTTTGCATCTCTCCATATTTTCAGTGTATGAGTGCTCTAATTATAATGACTCATATGTGAAATACTGCTTTCTTTTCTTGGCCTTAGATTGTTTTTCATACAGGCTTCCTCATTCAGGCACATGACAAACAGATCTAGATTTACTTTCTCTACCATTTGTCTGGCTTCAGCAATAGTCCCCAAGCCTTCTTTCCCATTTTTCAGAGGTCACCAACCCTCCGCCTGATAAGCGAGTGTCCCTTACAGCAGTCCCTCCAAATGGTTATCAAGCCTCTGCTTGAGCATTTCTTGTGACAAGAAACAGAAGACCGCACAAGGCAGCTCATTCCACTCTGGGATGAGATTAATTATGAGAAAGTTCTTCCTGATGTTGAGCTAACACGAGACCAAGCTCTCACTTTTAAGAAAACAATCCCATTGCTTCTTCCTTCTGACGGCCCTTTAAACATTTGAAGACAGCTGGCATGTCTTTTCCTCTTCCTTCTACCCCCATAGAAAGCATTTTTTACTCCAGGCAAATCCTGTGTATCTCCTTCAGCCATTTCTATTTGAGGTGCTTCCCAAACACCTCACTGTCCTCATTAGCCTCGTCTACACATAAACCAGTTTGTGAATGTCCCTTCTAAAGTGTAACACTCAGAACTGAAAACAGTGTGGCCCCTTCCTAATTCTGGACTTTGTGCAGGCCCACTGATGCAAGCTAAAATCATTTTAGCTGCAGCCACGACGCATGGTTGATTCTTGTTGAACTAAAGTCACTCAAGAGTTTTTTTTTTTTAACATGACCTGCTTGCAAATCATGTCTTTTGCCCCCCTGTTTTTTGTGTAGTTGATTTTTTTGAACCAAAGTGTAATTTGTTATGTCCGTCCCTGTTCGGTTTCATTTTGTTAGATTCTGTCCATGGTTCTAATCTGTCCAAAGCTTTAGTATTCTTCATTGCATCATCTCATCCATGATTTTCATAAGTATATGATCTATGCTTTCATCCAAAGTGATTTTTTATGTCTTATCTTGTTAGAATTTCTAATCTTAGTCTCTCTCCACTATCATCCTTCTAATAATTCTTAATTTTGTCCAGTTTGTTGACTGTTTGAGCAGTGGTGGCATGGTCTTCAGAAAATTTACCATGAGTCCAAGGTCTTTTTCCTAAATATAAGACACTCCCTCCTCTACCTCTGATTCGAAGAGCCTGATGTACTAAAAAGAAATAGAAGGTGCAGTCATAGTTTGGGTGAAACATCAGTGAAGGTGTCTGACAGACGTGAGCTTTTTGAACATCAGAGAAGGTGAAGTAAGGGTGTGGCTGAATGCTGGAGCCCTGGGGAAGGACCAAGCTGTATTTCTTGGGGCTTCTTGGAAATCTGCAGCTTTTCCTGGTAGTCATGATAGGAGGACTGTTTTGTTAAGAGGGATCCTGTCTAGAGTGCTGACCTTTACTCTCCTCCTAGCATTCACTAACTAGCAAGTGTCCACTGCGCTCCTTCCTGTTCTGTGAGTTGGTTGGGTCACCTTCGTTTCAGGCTTCATGTTTCACCTTTCAGTGGGATAGGATTCTCCCTTATCTCTTGTGCACGTGAAGAGGTCCTGATTCCCAGGGTAGGAGTGTCTGCGTTCTTCTCCATCCTCCACTGGAACGTATTTGGCACAGCACCAAGCCCTGTAGAAAACTTTCTTCTTGGAAGAATTTTCCAAATATTTGAAAACCAGAACCAGATACATTGCTATAGTTTAGGTGTTTAACCTTCTCCAGACCTCTGAGAGACTTTTATGCCAAATGAGTTGTAGGGTTTTGCCTTAACTTCTGTAAAATTTCCTAAGAATACCATTTTACCCCTTTTTTCTCCACTTCTCGATTTCATGTTTGGAATTAGGAAGTCCTAGATTTTGATGAAAAGGCGAAAGACAGCATCCCGTTAGGGTTTGCTTGCTTTTATTCATGTGCATTCCTCCCTGTTCCATGCTTGCTGAGTCCCCAGAGCCCTCAGCATAACTGGTGCTTTTGTTTGTCAGACATGCCAGGAACAGCAATAGTGATTCAGATGATGGTGATCTACGCAAGAAACGTGTGATGTCGGAGAGTGATTCTGACGAGAACCCAAATCATTCTGGGAGTGAAGCGGGCAGCCCCCGGAGATCCAGCGTGCAACAGTCAGAGGAGGATTCTGACAGTGACCGGTCAGCTCCAAAGAGAAGACGCTCAGTGTCTGAACAGTCTGACAATGAGTCTGTCCAATCAGGACGGAGCCACTCTGCAGGTTCTGACAATGAGTCCCGGCCAGCTTCACCAAGTGCTGATTCAGACCGGGAGTCAGAGAGAGCCTCTGATAATGAGGCTTCTGCAAGGGGCTCTGGGAATGACTCGGAACCAGAGGCTTCCAACAATGAGGCCTCAGAACGGGGTTCTGATGATAGCGATTAGATTGTAGTTTGTAAATAAGCTAAATTTCTGGAAGGGAACCTTTTTTTTAATATATGAAAGCTGTGAAATGCTTGAAATGTTTAGTAAAACTTGTGAAATTTTTCTGAAGGCAATTTTTTTCTATCAAATTATATATTACTAAGCCCTGAGAGACATTTTCTTGTGCCAGAGACCAATATTTGAGTTTCTTGTGCAAATGACGTCTGCTCTCCAATGTGGAACAGAGCCACCTGTCATATGTGAAAATTACACTTAAAAATAAAACCAGACATTTAGTCTTTCCTGGAGTAGTTTGGCTGCAATTTTGGCCTACATCCTAGGTCTTCTATGTGTTTAGCTGCATTAGATAAATGATTTTTTTTAATAAAAGGTGCAAGGAAATATCTATTTCCTTTATTACCTTTTCATTAATATCTTTGTCTTTCTTGGGAAGTAGGTTTACTTTACTTTCCAGTTAGACACATAATTTGTAATTACACCAAAATGCAAGAAAAAGAAGCAGGGTTTTTTTCCAAAAAAAAACAATCCTGCAGAGAAGTCAGTTACAGGCATGGCATATAATTCCTCAGGAGAAAAAATGTGTGAAAAGACCCCTTGTTAGTCAAATATAAAGCTCTGCCTAAGCAAACTGTTTAATAAAATTCTGTTGTTACAAGCTTTTGTGGATAACCTCATTTGCTTTGTTACTGAAGTGGGAATCAGAATGCCCTGCCTGTAGGGTTGATTAATCAGCTGAGCAGGGAAGGTGTGGCTAGACAATAGTTTATGTGAAAAATATCTAGCAGGAGGCTGCAAATTCAATGTGAGTCAGAAGTTATGGCAGCCAAAAAGCTGAGTCCATATTTAGCTGCATTAAGAGTGAGGAGTGAGGTGGCCATCCTCCTGCACTCTGCCCTGACCAGACCACATCTAGGGTTTTGTGTTTGGTTCTGGGAAGGTCATTGATTAGCTAGAGGTCAGCCAGAATTGGTGAAAACTTAGAGGTCATGCTTAGCCTGGAGAAGAGAAGAATTGGAGGAGACATAAAAGATCTTCAAGTATTTGTCATGGAAGATGGACTGAAATTGTGTTGTGTAGACCCAGAGGACAGAGCTAGAAGTAACTGGAAAAGTTGTAGAGGGGCAGAGTTGAGCTCAGGCTGGGAAAAGCTTCTGGATGATTAGAGCCATCTGTGAATGGAATGGATTTTCCTTGGAAGTAGTAACACCCTCTCCCCTTCCCCCCACCTTGAAGTTTTCAGTAAAATTTAGGCTGGCTAGGATAACCACTCAGGGAATTCTTAGAGGGCATTCTCAGCCAGATAACGGGGTTAGACATGATGGTGTCTGGGGCGCCTTCCTGCTCTTGAGCTTTATCTTCGGTAAAAGGAAGAGATTGATCTTGACCTCCAAGGGCCTTTCCAGCTCTAGATCTATGTATAGTATGATCAATAGAGGACCAGTCTTGGAGTTAAGAAAACCTGTATTTAGGTTCTGTCTCTAACACAAGTTGTGTGACCATGGATTTGTTATTCACCGTCCCAACTCAATTAAGACCAAGGGTTGCATGAATTTCATATGCTCAGGGAGAATTTTCCATGCTGATGAAATCATAGGTCACGGCTGACAAATATGTATATATATATGTATGTGTGGCCATGTAGATATACATAAGTATACTACATAGATATATACATAGCACAGATGTTTGGGTACTATGTAAAGTTGCTATGTACATATCAACATATATATGTTGCTACAGCAATGTAGCCACAACTCTGTATGTATTATGTGTGTATGTATGTGTGAGTTGATACTTAAATCTACCCAGATTCAGCCCCAATCCCTTCCCCAGAACTGCAGTCCTGTATTTCCAAATGCCTGTTGGGTAGCTGCACTGGGGATTCCCTTGGAATTCAACATGAACCCAAGTGACTAAATGAATCATTTCCCCCCTCAGACCTCCCTTCTCATGTTCAGAAAACTTCCCTGTTTCACTTGATGGCACTACTATACTTCCATGTTACCCAGCCTCAAAACCAATGATTTTCTCTATCCCACCCCACCCCTCTATGTCCCTAAACTCCAAACACCCTTTACATCCAGTCATCCTCTGGAATCTTAGCATTGATTAGAGTTCTAAAAACCTCTACATTGTTTTTCTTGATAATGTTGCATTGAATAAAATTGTTCTGGTTCTCACTTCACTCTGCATTAATTCATAGGTATTGTCCCAATTTCTTCTGAAATTGTCTGTTTTGTCTTTTCTTATGGTGTGGTAATATTCCAATGCATTCACATACCCTAATTTGTCCATCTGCCAATAGGTGAGCACCCCTTTAGTTTCCAGCTTTTTGCTACTAGAAAAGAGTTGCTAATAAATATTTTTGCATATATGCATCCTTTTAATTTCTTTGATAGCTGGGTCAAATGCTATGCACACTTTAATAACTTTGGGGGCTTAATTCCAAATTGCTTTTCAGAATAGATGGGCCAGTTCCCAACTCCACCAACAGTGCATTAGTGTGCCCATTTTCTCTCAGCCTCTCCATTTATCATTTATCATATCCTCCTTTGTCCTCTTTGCCAATCTGATCGATGTGAAGTGAAAACTCACAGATGGCTTAATAAGCATTTCTCTAATTATTAATGATTTGGAACATTTTGATATGATTATTGATAGCTTGGATTACTGCTTTTGAAAATTGCCTGTTCATATCCTTTGGTGATTTATCCACTGGGGCATGATCCTCAATCTGAAATTTGAATAACTTTCTTATGTATTTTGGAAATGACTTCACAGAAACTTGCTGCAAAGATTTTTCCCCTGGTTATGTTTTCCTTGTAGCTATAGGATTTCATCAAGTTTATAGAGAATTAGGATTGGAAGGAAGCTTTGAGAATCATAACGAATACTGTCTAGAGTTGGAAGGGAACTTGGAAGCCGTCTAATCTACCCTCTCACTTTTACAGATGAGGAAACTGAGGCCCAGAGAACTTAAGTGAGTTGTCCAGGATAACATGGGTTGTAAGAAGCATCAGAAGCCCTTTGCTTTGCTCTATGGAAGATTATTATGTCTCTACCTTGGAAAGAAGCTATAAGGGTATACTTGTGTATTTATTTATTTCTTATCTAAAGCCATCTACTAGGTTGGGTGCTAAGCCCATTCTTTTCCCTCTCAGTGGTCTATTTGTGGCTTCATGTAGGGGTGATGGTGGTAGTGGTGGTGGTGGTAGTGTGTGTGTGTATGTATGTATGTATAATCCTTCCCCAGATATTAGTCACAGGGCAGTCCTGTGTGGTACCTACCACTAGATGGATTATTAGGCTCAGGGTGAGATTAGGATTATCTATGAGACTTCTGGGGGTGGAGCCAAGATGGCAGAATATAGAAGCACTCAGCTAAGCCCTCCCAATATTTTCCTCCAACTAACTTTGAAATAATGCCTCAAATCAAATTCTGTAGTGGCAAAGCCAACAAAAGGTCCAAGTGAAACATTATTCCAGCCCAAAACAACATAGGAGGTTGGAAAGAGAGATCTGTGACGTGGGGTCTTGGCTGGCCCAGAGCCTTTGTGTTTGGTGAGACTAGGTGGTGAAGATGGAAGCAGCAGCAGCTTTGGAATTTTCCAAGTCAGAGACAAGAAGGGGACCTGGCAACTGGTCAGAGGGAAATTACAGGGTACCTCCTATGCTAGCACTGGACTCAGGACCATACACTGTTTGGCAACTCCATTGTCTATATCTACTTCAGGGTCACAGTTTAAGGACAGAGAGGAGCACATTTGGTCAAGAGGGAGTGGAAGCCTGAGTGGGGAGTGGGGAGTATAATAATTTCCAGCCACAAGGGATCAGGGACTCTGAGGAACAGTATCATTTCTGGTTCCAAGGGAGGAGGGGCCCTGAGGAGGAGTATCAATTGCAAGTCCAAGGGATCAGGAGACTTTCCTGAGTACAGACCAGAGTAAAGACCACGAGAGCAGCTCTTCCCAGCTCACACCACTTTGGAAGCATCAAAAACTTCCAACCCCCAGAACTAGCTCTAAGAATAGCAATGTGAAAAAGCCTGAAACTTGAGATAGACTCCCCTACCCTGACCCTTCAGCTCTCAACCCCAGCTGCGCCATGCCAGGAACAGAGCCCAACTTAACAACAACAACAAAAAATTCCAAATCAATACATAAAATGGAAAAATGAGCAAACAATAAAGAACCTAACCATAAAAAGCTACTATGGTCAGGGAGGATCAAGACACAAAATCAGAAGACAATGAAGTCAAAACAGCTTCAAGGAAAGCCTCAAAAGTTTTGAATTGGACACAAGCCCAACAAGAATTCCTAGAAGATCTAAAAATTATTTTCCAAATCAAATAAGAGTAATAGGAGAGAAATTAGACAAAGAAATGAAAGCAAAGGAAGAAAATCATGAAAAGACAATAAACAGCTTGGTAAAAGAAGCACAAAAAATACTGAAGAAGATAACACCTTAAAAAACAGAATTGGCCAAATGGAAAAAGAGGTACAAAAATTCATTGATGAAAACATCTCCTTAAAAAGCAGAACTAGGGGCAACTAGGTGGCACAGTGGATACAGCACCAGCCCTGAAGTCAGAAGAACCTGAGTTCAAATCTGGACTCAGACCAAACATTTGACACTTACTAGCTGTGTGACCCTGGGCAAGTCACTTAACCCTAATTGCCTAAAAACTAGAAGAAAAAAAAAAAAAAAACCAGAACTGGCCAAATGGAAAAAGGTACAAAAGCTCACTGAAGAAAATAATTTCTTAAACATCAGAATTGGGCAAGTGAAAGCTAATGACTCCCTGAGACATGAAGAAATAATGAAACAAAGTCAAAAGACTGAAAAGAAAAATAGAAGAAAATGTGAAATATCTCGTCAGAAAAACAACTGACCTAGAAAATAGATTGATGAGAGATAATTTAAGAATTATTGGATTATCTGAAAGCCATGATCAAAGAAAGAGCCTAGACATCTTGTTTCAAGAAATTATCAAGGAAAACATCCCTGGATATTCTAGAACCAGAAGATAAAATAGTAATTGAAAGAATCCACTGATCATTTCCTGAAAGAGATCCCAAGATGAAAACTCCCAAGAATATTGCAGTCAAATTCCAGACCTCCCAGGTTAAAGATAAAATACTTCAAACAGCAAGAAAGAAACTATTCAAATTCCATGAAGCCACAGTCAGAATCTCACAAGATTTAGTAGCTATCATGTTAAAGGAAGAGAGAGTTTAGAATACTATACTGCAGAAAGCAAAGGAGGTAGGATTACAACCAAGAATCACCTAACCATTAAAGCCAAGTATAATTCTTCAAGGGAAAAAATACATATTTAATGAAACAGAGGACTTTCAAGCATTCCTGATAAAAAGACCAGAGCTGAATAGAAAATTTGACTTAGAAATATGAGACTCGAGAGAATAAAAAAAATATGAAAGAGAAATCGTAAGGAACTCAATAAGGTTAAACTGTGTACCTTTCTATATGGGAAGATGGATCTTTTAAGAACTTTCTCATTATTACAGCAGTTAGAAGTATTCTACATAGAAAGAAGGTGTGGGAGTGAGTCATTTATTTTGGGATAATATAAAAAAGTGGATAGGCAAGAAGGAGAGATGCTCTGGGAGAAGAGGGAAAGGAGAGAAAGAATGGGGAAATTATCTCACATAAAAGAGGTATGCAAGGAAGTACTTTTACAGTAGAGGGGAAATAGAAAGGGGATGGGCAATGCTTGAACCTCACTCATGTCTAAATTGGTTCAAAAAAGAGAATATGTATATATATATATTCAATTGGTAATAGAAATCTATCTTACCCAACAGTAAAATAGGAGGGGAAGAGGATAAGAGAAAGGGAAAGTGATAAAAGGGAGAATAGATTAAGGGAGGCAGTGGTCCGAAGCAAAATAGACTTTAGAAGAGGGACAGGATAAAGAAAGGGAAGGATAAACAGAAGAAAATAGAATGAAGAGAAATGCACACTTAGTAATCATGACTGTGAATGTGAAGGGAAGGGAATAGCAGGATGGAGCAGAAACCAAAATCCAACAATATATTGTTTGCTAGAAACACACTTGAAACAGAGAGACACACACAGAGTTAAAATAAGAGGTTGGAGAAGAATCTACTATGCTTCATCTGAAGTAAAAAAAAAATGCAAGGATAGCAATCATTATCTCAGACAAAGCAAAAACAAAAACAGACCTAATTAAAACGGATAAACAAGGGAAACTACATTTTGCTAAAAGGAACCATAGATAATGAAGTAATATCAATACCAAATATGTACCAAATGGTATAGCATCTAAATTCTTAAAGGAAAAGGTAAACGAATTACAGGAGGAAATAAATGGTAAAACCATACTAATGGGGTACCTCAACCTTCCTCTCTCAGAGCTGGATAAATTTAACCATAAAATAAATAAGACAGAAGTTAAGGAGTTGAATAGAATCTTAGAAAAGTTACGTATGATAGACCTCTGGAAAAAACTGAATGGGAATAGAAAGAAGTGTACCTTTTCTCAACTGTGTGTAGAACCTTCACAAAAATTGACCATGTATTAGGGCATAAAAACCTCATAACCAAATACAGAAAAGCAGAAATATTAAATGCGTCCTTTTCAAACCCATAATGTAATAAAAAAATTACATTTATAAAGGGCCATAGAAACATAGACTAAAAGCTAATTGGAAAACAATTTAAAGAAAGAGTTGGTCAAAGAACATATCACCCCCAAAACAACAATTTCATTAAAGAGAATGACAACAATGAGACAACATTCCAAAATTTGTGTGATGCAGCGAAAGCAGTACTTGGAGGAAAATGTGTGTATGTGTAAATGTAGTATGTACATCAGTAAGAGAGAGAAAGAGCAAATCAATGAATTGGGCATGCATCTAAAAAAAAATAGAAAAAGAAAAAATTTTAAATCCCTAATTAAACACCAAAATGAAAATCCTAAAAATCAAAGGAGAGATTAATAGAAGTGAAAGTTAAATAAAAAAAAAAACCACATTGAACTAATTAAAAAAAACAAACAACCTAGGAGATCATGAAGAAACCAACAAAATAGATACACCTTTGGTTAACTTGTTTAAAAAAAAAAAAGGAAAAAAGAAAACTAAATTACTAGTATAAAAAATGAAAAGGATAAATGCACCACCAATGAAGATGAAAT